AGGTATTATTTATCTAAATAAATCTAAGTTCTAAATTTCTTTCCTTAGTTTTCTTTGAGTAGGCCTTACATAGTTTAGGGTGGTCTCACACTATTTAGTTAGGCTTGCCTTGGATTCCTAATCCTCCTGCCTCCACTTCCTAATTGCTGGGATTATGTTCCACCATAACTGGCTCCTGAATTTCTGCATGTTAGGACCCCCCCCCCAAGTTTGTCATTTATCTTTTGGGAGACTGAATGAAAAGTTTTCCTGGTATAACCTAACATAAAAGTTATTACTGAGATAGAATATACTGAAAATGAAACCAAAAATTAAAAAAAAATGTATAATACCAGCCTATGTCTTTAAGTTTGAGAATTTTGCAGTAATCCTCTCAACCCCAGTTTCCCACTTAACAAGGAATATGAGTATCTTCACTTAGAAGATTCATTTCCTTTCCTTTGAAAGGGGAAAAGTTAAGCTTGAAACTTGTTGAAATGTCAGTGGTAAGTTCTCTTGTATATTCTACATAGCTCTTGCCATAAAATCACCCACTTAGAGGGCTCTTTATGAGTTCTTTTTTCATTCTTTTCTTTCCAAGGAAGGGGAATCCTGATTGTTGTATTTTTATTAAAGTCAGTGTTGAGAATTTTAGCTGGGATTATGGTGTGTGTGTGTGTGTGTGTGTGTGTGTGTGTGTGTGTGTGTGTCAGTTTTAGGTAGTGGAACTGACATGATGAAGAAAAGTAGACTTTCTTGTCCGCAGGAGAAGTGCCTGCTGATCCTGTATCATACATCACTGCAGACCGAGAAAACATGGGCAGTGAGCAAATATGTGTTTGCTGAAGGGGTATCAGGGGTCAGAGATAATTTTTGGTTTGTTCCAATCAGTGTGTATTTACTTATGTCATCAGTTTGGTGAATGTGGTAGACTCTGTTTTTTTGTCCTTGAGTATATAGTCTAGTTCAGGTGGATTATGTAAGAATCTGAATAAATCATGGGTGATAGTGATAAAGAAATCATTTAAGGACATAAAGATAAACATTGATTAGCTCAAGAATATAAAATCCTTGAGATAGGAAGAGGCTTAAAAATAAAGTCATTGCCGGGGGCTTGGACAGATGACTCAGCAGTTAAGAGCACTAAGTATTCTTGCACAGTACCTTGGTTTGGTTCCCAGCACCCACGTCGTGACTCACAACTATTCACAGGTATGCACAAGGTACACACACACACACACACACACACACACACACTCAGCCAAAGCACTCATACACATAAAATAAAAACAATCTTTAAAAAAATGTCATTGTATCTTTGGCATAGACACTGGAGGATATATCAGCTATTAGGACTGGAGAGAAAACCTGGGTTATGTGTGGTCATAATGATAGAAATTCAGATTTTTTTCTTCTTTGTAAAGGGAAGTTGTGATGGTATTCTTGGTTGTCATCTTGACTACATCTGGAATTAACTAAAACTCAAATGGCTGGGCATACCTGTGAGGGCTCCCCTCCCCCTTCCTCCCTCCCTTCATCCCTCCCTCCTTCTTCCTTTAGGGTTTTTTTGACAAGGTTTCTCTGTGTAGCCCTGGCTGTTCTGGAACTAGCTCTGTAAACCAGGCTAGCCTTGAATTTACAGAGATTTGCCTGTCTCTGCCTTCCTGAGTGCTGGGATTAATGGTGCATTCTACCACACCTGGTGAGGGAATTTTTTCTTAATTAAATCATTTGAAGTGGGAAGACCCACTTTTTTTTTTTTTTTTTTTTCTCGAGACAGGGTTTCTCTGTGTAGCTTTGGAGCCTATTGTGGCACTCGCTCTGGAGACCAGGCTGGCCTCGAACTCACAGAGATCTGCCTGTCTCTGCCTGGGATTAAAGGCGTGCGCCACCAATGCCCAGCCAAGGGAAGACCCACTTCTAATCCACATTTTGGAGGTGGATGATACACCTTTAATCTGGGCCTTAAATCTGCCACACTTTCTGCTGGTAGCCTATATAAAGGGCATGGAAGAAGGAAGCTCTTCCTCTTTTCCTGCTAGCTCTTGCTTTTGGTGCAAGCCCATTCCTTTAATGGCATAAGAGCCTACTTCTTTGGGATTCCAGCATATATTGAAGATCAGCTGAGACATTCAGTTTTGGACCTTGTATTCATAGGCAGCCATTATTGGATTAGCTGGACCACATCCTAAAGCCATTATAATAAATTCCATACATATAATTAGAATATATAATACAATAAATTCCATATATATTTAATTCTCCCCCCCTCTCTGTCTCTCTCTCTGTCTCTCTCTCATTCTATAAATTCTGTTCCTCTAGAGAACCCTGACTAATATAGAAGCCTTTGGAGAGATTTAAGCTGGGTAATGTCTGAAGTACTGCTTTAAAGAGATTGTTTTAACTGCTTTGTGGAGTATGTACTTGGTGGGGATGGGAATGGGGAATGCATAATGGGATTTTGGAGGCTGTTGAATTGCTCTGGTGTAACTAAATTCTACATTTGGACAAAGATTTAAATAGAAATGCTGAATGTGTTCAATTTTAAAACATGTTTTGGAGGTTGAGTAGTAGATTTGGTGGGGGAGAGTATGGTCAGACAGATGAGAAATAGTGTCATTAATTGTAGTGGTGTGTGTGTATTGGGGATGCTGGAAGGAACTGGTTTGGGAATGGAAATGGATCCATAAACATCCTCCCTCCCACTACATTTGGATGGCAGTAACTCTCTGCCACACCTTCGATGCTCCTCTCCTCTGCTGTGGGTGCCATAAAGCCCCATATACTCACATGGGGCTCAAGGTTGGGCGGTGGCTGTGGCTTAAGCCACTGGCCTCATCCTCCATCTGGCATTGGGCACTTCTGCTGCCTGCCATTGGGCAGCTAGCCTCCCTCAGCCCCTCTCTGCTCCCTCTGCCACTGCCTCTTTCTCCTCATGGCTGGCGGTGAGCAAGGCTTCAGCAAGGAAGGGGGTCCATGGTAAATACAGAGACAACATAAAGACATACAAAGAATAGAAAAAATAAAGAAACCAGAACAGTGACAGTGGCCTGTCTTGTACCTGGGCTCCACAGTCATCAAAACCAAAGACAGAGTGGAACCGTCTGGTTCTGACTGATGGTGACCTGTCCTGTAACCAGGCTCAACCAGATGGGGTCTCTCCAATGTCCTTGGGACCCCCTAGCTAGGAGGAAGTTAGCATATCTGCCTGGCCTGCAGTGACCTCCAGATTGTGTTTGGACACCAGATGAGAATAAGACAAACACTAGACAGAGACACACTCAGACCCATTGGTGGAGAACAAACTGGGTTCCCCTACGAACGCTCTATATTGGGCTGGGAGTCCCCAGTGATTCTGGGCTAATGTACCTAATGCACCAAATGTAAGGCTCTAGAAGACACTGAGGGAAGACCCTAGACTAAAATAGTATGTAAGAACAGAGAGTGTTTATTTAACATCATATGTGGGGTTGTTCACTTGTACAAAATGCAACTACCCCAAATGGAGCATGCAGGCTCCTTTTAAACTAGGGGAATTTTAGGGACAGTTAGGTAATCTCAAACATAATTGGCTAACTAAGCAGCAATTACATTAATATACTTTTAATTGGCTGAGGTTTTATCTTTGGATATAGTTGGGTAAATTTCAAGGGGGTGGTAGCAACTGTCCTTGAGACATTGTGGAGCTTACTCAGGATTTGTTTGTGAGCTCTTTCTTGTCCCTGAATGTAATTTTTTGATAAATGGCCCTTTGTTGAGAGAGACACTTGTTTGTCCCTCTCAGAGAACTGAAACCTAAATGTAGTTGTAAAAGTGGGAAAGTTTAAACCCTTCATTTTCGTACGATGGATATCAGAAAGACTAGATGGTAGTTGGGAGTGGATGTGTAGTTTAGGGCAAGTTTTTTAGTGACCTTTATACATATATGAGAATAATCTGGTGGAGAGGGACAAATATGTGATATCGAACAGAGGGTCCCCTTCCCACAGGGTTTCTTTGTGTAGCCTTGGCTGTCCTGGAACTTGTAGACCAGGCTGACCTAGAATTAGCAGAGTTAGCTGCAAATAAGCTGTCTGTGGAGAGCAGACAGAAGAGGAAGTATGAATGTAAGCAGGTTGGCTGATTTTCATGAGGGAAGAGGAAAGAGTTAAGAGTATTCCCCTCCATCCTTTCTGAGAAGTGTATAGTTAGAGTGGTAGCTGAGCAGGAGGAGTGAACATAGAGGCAGGAAAAAGTAAGGTTCCCACACTGTGAGATTTTGGAGAATACAAAGTGATTTTGTTTCTGAGGTATTAATCACTACTTGGGTTGATGATTTCTAATTTTAAAATTTCAAGTATGAAATGCTCATAAGAAATGTGACAGTTGTCATAAGTGGAAAATGCCCCGTTGGCCTCTTGTATTGTAGTCAAAACACTAATTCACTAAGACATTGAATAGATTTGCCTTCAGGCTATAAATTATATATGAAAACTTAATGAATTGTGTGTCAGATTTGAGTATTATATACCAGATAACTCATACAAATATTCCCCCAATTCCTCCAATCAGAAACATTTCTGTTTTCAAGCATTTTGGACAAGGGATATTCCATATCCAGTAGGATTTTGCAGTGGTGTTCAATGACTCTTAGATTGTAGCTATGTAGGCACATTGAATCCAATCAGGCTGGCTTCGTGATTTTTAGTAATCTTAAGCTTCTTGGTGTGGAGCCATGGGATGGCTGGATAGTTGAATTTACTGAAATTGATTTTTTTTAGACCAGCTAAATGGATAAAGGGATAGGAACTGTAATTCAGGTCTTTTACTTTGTGATGATAGTCCTATGGTGTTTCAAGTGTTTTCAAGTGAACTAGATTTTCCCAAAACAAAACAAAACCAAGACTCCTTTACCATGAGGACAATGTGGGTACAGATGGTAGTTTATGCATCCTGAATGTTGTAGCTTCTATAGAAGTTTCTTCTGTGTTTGTAATTTTCTTATCAGAAGTTATAATCTTCATTCCATTTTCTCTTTAAAGGTCTGTCTATGATGGTGAGGAACATGGACGATTCATGGAGAAGTTAGAAACTCGCATCCGCAATCATGACCGAGAAATTGAGAAAATGTGCAACTTTCACTACCAGGGCTTTGTAGACTCAATTACTGAACTGCTGAAAGTACGGGGGGAAGCCCAGAAACTCAAAGTAAGGAGATGCTGCTGGACATTTGCTCCTCTGTCCTTTTCTGGGGTTCTGATTACTTCTGATTGAAAGAATAGAGGCTGTACTGCATGGAATGCTGTAGAACAGGCTTTGCTTTATTTTCATGGGGTACATACTGTTATCTCTCTGTCTTATAATGTAGAATTGAACTGAAGATACATGGACAGCCTGGCCAAAATCACAAAGTTGGTATGAAGTTTTCATACTAAACAAAGTACATGTGCAGTTTAGATATGATCACATTTTTTCCTGTTTTAAAAGCCTGCATACCTCACTTTAGTTAGGTTTGAGAGAACACAGTCCAGCATCCTTAGTATAAACCTTCAGGTTCTGTCCATTTGGCTCTGCCATTTCTTCACTCTCATCTCTTGACTTTTATTATTATTATTATTATTATTATTATTATTATTATTATTATTATTATTGAGATAGGTTCTTCCTGTGTATTTTAGCCTGGCCTCAAACTTATGATCCTCTTTCCCCATCTTCCTTAGTGCTGGGATTACAGGTGTGTTTCACTGTACCTGGGGCATAGTAAAGATTTTTATGAAATAAGAAAGGAATTTATACCAAAATGGACATAAATAAGATTATGACTTTTTAGCTGTAAAGAGTACTTTTTTAAATTAGTTTAAGTAGGATATCTACACGTGGATTGGAACCAATGATCAGTGACTGCTTGTTTCAAGAGACTGCTCTTGAAGCCACCAGCTTCTTTGCTGGATGAAAAGCACCTCGCTGGAGTCAGAGTATTGCTATACTTACTTGAAAGGCCAAGGTGGAAAGACCTGTGATAGCTGTGGAGTGTTGCCTACAGGGTAAAGATTCATGTTCAGGAAGGAGCTTGCTCACAGCAAATGCCTTCTCTTAGACATGTGACTTTGCTTATTGATCTGAAGACCATTCTCCTAAATTTCTGTTATATTAAACAGTTTAAATTTTTGGCATTTTTCTGTGAAACCTAATCTGTTCTGTCAGTAATAATAGTTTTATTTCTTCTTTCTAGTCTTTATGGTTTTGTTTTTCTTTTTGGAGTCTGAATTAGAATCCTTAGTAAGACTTTTTTTCTGCATGGGGTTAACTTGACAGTGAGTATAAAATTCATCTCAAAGAATATATTTTTAAAAAGAACCAAAAGAAATAATTTTACCAAAAAGCTAAGCAAGTTATAGAAACAAAATATAGTCTAATAAAACTGTAGTAGTTTAAAAAAAAATTCATTTGACTACAAAACATGACTTAAATGGACATAAAACTATTAAATTTTGCAACTTATTTAATGTGTTTGTATTTAAATATAGAAATATTGATGTGTTTGATATCAGTTTTATACCATTTTCAGCTGTGGGATATTACATAACATACATAGAATGCAATATGTTATATTAAATATCATTGCTTTTTTTTTTTTTTCTTCTTCACGGCAGGGTTTCTCTGTGGCTTTGGAGGCTGTCCTGGAAATAGCTCTTGTAGACCAGGCTGGTCTCGAACTCACAGAGATCCACCTGCCTCTGCCTCCTGAGTGCTGAGATTAAAAGCGTGCGCCACCACTGCCCTGCCAAAATATCATTACTTTTATAAAAGTTTCCAATATTCTGAAGTCTCAAATACACTGGATCCTAAGATTTGTACAATAGAATTCATCTGGCTTGAGAACAGGATATTGTACACATCATTAACTAATTCTTTCTTTTCTATGCATTTTAGTTGTTTCCCCTATTTTAGATGTAACAAGTCTTTTGGTTTGTGGCTAATGTGCTGTTTGTCCTCATTCAGCCCTCACATCTCCTATCACAGTCTTGAGTATTCTTTTTCCATGTTTTACAATTCTTGTGTATTGCAAACTTCTTTCACAGATTCTTGGGATCCTGTTCCACAGTGGGCCAAAGGATATAAAAGATGTAGAATATGCTTCAGGCCAGATAGTATGGAATATTGCTTGGAATCTCACCAATGGCTGACCTTAATTGGTGATTGATACTCACCTTTATCCTATTTTCCCCCTACTTTAAATTGGTTCAGATTGTAAATTCCTTCAAATTGGTCAGAATGCCTCTGAAGGAATACCTGACTGCATCTTTCAAATTTGTTGTTTGGCTACTTCAGATTCTAATCAGTTACTCTGGAAGTTGAGAATAATGTTTAGCTATACACTTGGTAAGCTCTGCTCCAGGGGACCTGTTTGACCTAGGTGAAGAATGTTGAGAGTCTTAACTCTAGAAAAGAATTTAGAAGAGGAAACTTAAGTGTTAACCACTTATAATACTTAAATAATACCATGACATTACACTTTCCATGATGCCATTATTTTGTGTTCATAGCATATATACATATATATATATATATATATATATATATATATATATATATGTGTGTGTGTGTGT